GCAGGATCAGTTTTTGGGGAGCACTTTTTTTCTTAGTGTCTACCTTTTGGTGTGGTGTTGGGGATGACATCCAAGTCCTGGCACATGCTAAGCAAGCACTCAATCACCGAGTGGCATCCACAGCCTGGGCAGTGCATTTATAGAAAAGTGTATGTGTTTCAAAAAAGACAATTGCATGAAAACTTCAGTTCCTCTAAAGCCGTGTTTGAGGTATCAGCAACTCACATTGGCTTTTATCTTGAAAATCACAAATAGTGGCATAATTTCATAAGACTGACTAAAGGAAACTCTTTCATGATTGTTCAAGATATTTTATGAACTAAAAACTTTTGTGCAAAGGTGCTACACAAATGAAAGGTTTTAAGAACTAAAAAGGTAAGCATATAAGTCCAAAGAAGCAATACGACTTCAGTAATGACTCACCAGTAATGACGACCTCCCTCCCCTCCTAACCCCTTTCAGCTTCACAATAACTGGAAATGATCAACCCTGATGCTCCTACTTCTCTGTTAGAAAGGCAGACCCACTCCCATCCCACCAATCTTTCTCACCGTTACTCTTCTGAACTGTAAATCTAGGAACAGCAATGCTTCAAACCCTACCCACTTCAGATGTGATGTTTAAATTAGAAAAGATGTGCATTTTGTAAACTTTTAGGACCATGAACTTACAAAGGGTTACTGATATAGGCATTAAAGATTTCTTTGCTGGAGGCTTTTCTCCTTTCTAGATTTTCCACTTTGTACTTTGGTGCCAGGGAAAAGCATAATGAATTAAATATTCTAAATTGCTAGATCCATAGGGACAGAAGGAGACACTCTGGGCACATATTGGAAGAACTAAGCTTTAATAAAAGATTCTTGGAAAGTCAGGGATACAGCCTAGATAAGTTGCAGAGATGGAAATAAGGGCTAGGCAGTCTAAGATTTGCTTCCTCCCTCACTCTTCTTACAGAAAAGCTAATAGAGCTGTAACCCAAGGTCTTGTCTGAGGTCTTCTGGGATGTATTTCAGAAGCAAAGTTTCAATTTCCATATCCCAATCTATAGCAAGAATATTTCACACCAAGGGATCAGAGGCTGGGGTGTCAGAGAAGCTACAGAGGGCATATTTGGCAGCATCTTTGTAACTAGCAGGGTGTGCCCCCTGTACACTGTCAATCACAGTAAATGTAGGCTTCACCACAACACAGAATGACACTTTACCCACAGGCTTATTGGGATCTCTCAGCTGTATAGAAGCTTACACACATACATACACACACACACACACACACACACACACACACACACGCATGCACGCACGCACACACTCGAGCCATGCCCCAAGCTCTGTTCATCAGCTCAACAAGCAAAATTGCCAATTTGCTCAATTTCCCAGTCAGAAGCTACTGAACCATAGAAAAAGAACGCCCCCGTGTGGAATTGTACACTACTACCTCTGGGCTGGCAAACTTCCCTAAGTTACAAACAAAATTCTAGAAAACTACAGAAGCAGATGTTGCAGGTTCTGACAGACGGAGCCTGTATTAATGGATGAAAAGTACAAATTACTTTGTTCTCATCAAACTACTGCTTCACTGACTCACTGCTGAAGCCAGAAGTTGGGGTGAAAAAGATTATTTCAAGACCTACAGATTTTCTACACTAAAGATAAGCACCGAAATGGCTCAGTTAATCTTAAGTGTATTGACTAGAGAGGGACTTGAACTCAGAACATGGCAGTACAAGGCTACTCTCTCCATACTGCTGTGAACATATTTTCTAGGCATTTTCAGGCAATGAAGGTTTTGTCGTTCTTTGTCCCTATCCCAAAAACTTCTCTCCCAGTCTTGCTGGGCTTCAGCCTCTGCTGTAGAGAGACATTAGTGTTTGGGCTTTTAAAGGGTGAGTTCTGAAGCTCAGAGAGTGCTGAGTGATTCATGGGTTGCTAGGATACCAGTAGCCAATGCTTTATTTAATTCCTGGGTGGGGAGCTGGGAGCTAAAATCCCTGAACTGGGATTTAGCACCCTCCTAGTAACAAAAGCATATCCTCTATTCAAGAGGATTAGAGAGGATGGAGGGGGAGTGAGGCGCTTTATAAGGAAAGTTGGAACAAATCAGAGAGAAAAAGCCCTGTCCTCTTTCTTACATGTCAAGCACTTAGAGTATCAGAGAAGACAGTAAGAAGGGGAAAGTTATTACAAAAGGCAGAAAAGGGAAGAAAAAGATAAGGCAAATTGCATTGAGTTTTAACTTATCTGGCCTGAATTTCTTATTTCTTCTGATTTCTTCCTCTTTTTTTCGTGATTTCACGTATCTAAAGGAAAACCAAGCCGTTAAGATTCACACAACTAAAGTTATACTGCCACCTTGTTTTCTGTTCCCTCAACTCTGCCAGCTGCTCTGAGGTAGGCTGCCATGTGACAAGCAACGTTCCTTTCCTAAAGATAAGTGAATTTTTGAAGTATGGGTCTTGATAGCTAAATTACTTATGACTGGGCTCATTTAAAATATTCTTTCTAGTCTATTCTGAGCAGTTTGGGGTGATAGCTGGAGGACGAACATGGGTAACCTCATCCAGCTCTAGCACAAGAAAGGAATTCAGAACGGGGGAACTCAAGGCTGTGGCTACTTATTCCTATCCCAACCACTCTCCATCCACACTCAGGAGTATTCACTACCCTCCCCTGACCCCCCCCACACACACAGAAAAGTATGCACACACACCCACAAACATACTGGCACCACCTTCCACTCACACATTCCCAAAGACTTTCTGTCAAAGGTTCGCGAGGCATTTCATAACATCACTTAGTTATAAACCTGGATTAAAGACTAACTTATAGAGACTCATTTTCCCTTCAGGGTAAAAGAAAAAGTCAAATGAATTCCAGTGCTGGAGTTCCCATTTCTTTATCACATCATTTTAAAAATCCCTTAGATAAAATTTATTCTACAGATTACAGCAACCAGATATACAGCCCTCCTCCCATCACCTTTTGGTTAATGATTCATTATCCTTTTCACCTGTTTGTCCATTCCATCCCCCTCAGACTTCAGGACCTTATTGGCACCCAAAATCACAGAATGCAAAAACTTGAAAGTCACTCGTCCAAAGACTTCGAAATGTCAGTGTTATAGGGAATCCAAAGCCCTTCCACTGAGGAAGTAAAAAAAAAAAAAGTCCAAGGTCAAACAGACAGTGAATAGAGAAGACTTAGGTCTGCAGCTACCCAGCATTGAGCCTTTCCCCACTCCATACCACAGTCTCAAATAAAGTGCCCAGAGACGATGCAAGGTTACTTTAAATACATCTCCAGAGCAAACAATTTTTTTTTAAAAAGGTTACTAGATTTTCATTTCAAAGAAAGAGTTTCTTGATTCTACCCAAGGTGTCCTCACAAAGGGACAAAAGAGTGATTAATAAGAAATCAGTGTCAGCAAGATTCCCAGACCACACAATCTATCATCACACCAAACAAGGAGGAAAAAGGAATATTCAGTTTCTCACCCACACCGAGTCAACTGGAACACACGTTAAGGTTCAAATGCTCAACTTGATTCCATTAAATAAGCTCTTGGTCAGTCAGGACAATTTCGAAGCCCCTCAACAATCACTTCCAAAGAAATTGAACAAGACCTAGAAATTGACAGCACAATGCTAGCTGACTTGCACATCACACATGAGCAGCCGCCCACACAAGTGGCAAGATGCATGTGTGGGGGCGTGTATGTGGCCTGATTCACGGCTATATGAGGCAGAAAAGGCACTGTTTCAAGTCAGGTAAGCAATGGAATGAGGAAGATCTGCGTACATCAGCAAAGAAAACAGAAAAAAATAAAGAAAACAAAACCAAATATTATGTACACACTAGTATCAGAAACAACTTTTTACTAGCTTTGCCACAATACATCTCAGCAAAAACAGAAATAATAATAATAATAATAATAGTAAGAATAACAGCAAGCACCACTATGACTACATAATACAGAGAGATCTCAAACTGGAACATTGTTTCCAGCTCCTGTTTCCCCAGCCCTCATCCCATTACATGCCCTTTTTCTGTGCTCAAATTCTTAATTTAGTACATTACATACTTACAGTTACATGAATGTTTCAGAGACTTCTGTTCTTAAGCAACAAACAAGGAAGCAAATCTCATCGGCACTATCAACTTCTATATTGAAATGTAGTTCAAAAACATCATTGCAAATAAGATTACCCCACAGGAGCCATATCCAATACTTTTTTCCCAAAGTAGGTAAAAATATTGCTTTTGGTTTTTGCATGACACACAGCAAAAAATCCTCAAACTCAAATCCAGGAGTACAATTTCTGGAAAAAGGAGCCCAAACATCAAGTCAAAATCCTCTCTTGTTAATTCAAAATTTCAAAGAATACTTTTTGTTCCATGATTCCAGAGAAAATCTCACTTAATGTTTTAATAAATGTTTTAATTAGGTGGCTTCTTTCCAAATCAGAAATTGTAAACCCTGAACAGCAATATTGCAATTCAAGGGACATAGTCACTAATTGCCAGCCCAAGGCACCCCAATGTGTCACTTCCCCAATTCTTGCTTCTCATTTACAGACTATTTTCCACAAACGCACTTCTTGCATCAGTTTTTCCCCTCTAAACATCCAGTGAAAGACTTTCATAGGATGCCAAAAATTCATCATGCTCTTCCACAAACACCTCCCCCGAGCCCCAGCCCCAAACAAACCCAAACTCATTCTTGATAGCGAGAGAGAAATTTTGATTAAAATTCCTTAACGGAGTTTAAAGCTAGTTAAGAAAATGAGTTAACGAGACATCACAAACAGCGAAGCCACCTTAACAAGACACAGAGCTTGCTAAAACGTCACACAGATGGAGAATGCAATGCACACATACACATGCACACTTAAATCGAAAACATTTCCTTATCAACAATTTTACTCAAGCAATAAGCAGCTACACTCACAGGCATACTTAAAAGACAAGACATGGCAAAAGATTTAGGGAGAGATAATATACCAACGTCATACATATCACAGCGAGGCCATGTTGAAGCTCAAAACGTTTTCCCCCCTGAGTAAGAAAGCTTGCTCTTTCTCTCCCTCTCTTTCCCTGTCTCGGACTGTCTCTTTTGGATTTTTTTTTCCCCCTCAGAGGCTCTTGGGATGAAATCAAAGCGAGAGTTCGCAACCGCTCAGGTGGCTGGACTCCATTCAGCGCGTTCCCAAGAAAAACATGAGTATGACATTGACAAGCAGGAGGACTACAATCACAGCAAAAACGACTACAGTTTGCACATCCAGGGTCATGGTGCAATGCAGAACACTGTAGTGTTCCAGGTGGGGGGCCGGCAGATTGGGAGATGTCAGTCTCTGTTCTGTCAGACTGTCCATACAGCCACCATGCTAAAAAGGAAAGGAGGAAGTCAGATGGTTAGGGGAAGGTCTGGGTTTGGCCCCCGAGTATGGTCGGGGGAGGGAAGGGGGTTGGAGGCAGGGGCTCTGGCTTCCCTCCCCCTCTCGGGACTGGGCTGATCTTTCCTTCCTAGCTGAGAAATCTTAGCTTGCGCTTAAGGCAGCAGAGTCCAGCATTCTCTCTTGGGCGCCACTGAAAAATCAAAATCCTGCTTTTCAAAAAGAAAGGCAGAAGGAACCTATCGGTTCTCCGGCGCCTTCTGTCTGTCCGGGCATGCGTCCGTCTGCCTGGCTGGCTACCGGTCAGTCTCAGTCTCCCCTATTCCTCGCTTGCTTGCTCTCTTCAAGGGATTCCCGGCTACCAGTCACTCTTTCTAGCCTTTCCTCGCTGGCCCTCTCCCTCTCCTCTCCCCACCCCCACCTCAGCTGGTAGGCTGCCTTTTTATTCACGCAGAGACTGGGGGCGCTTGCGTGACGCTAAGAGAGCCGCTGACAGGCGCACAGGCCAATAGTAGAAGCTGCAGCTGCGCATTCAGTAGCCGGAGGCGAGACTTGAGCTGGTGTGCTAGCAGCGTCAGCCAATCGGAGAGCCCAAAACTCACAGAGCCGGCTCTCTCCATGGGTGCCACCAACAGCCTGTTTTTACGTGGGGGTGAGGGACTTGTTGGGGGTGGGGGTGGAGGGTAAGAGACCGAAAGAGGAGGGGAAAGATGGGGACGTGGGAGAGCAAAGAGAATGAAGTGAATAGGCCTGACAAGAAAGGAGGAGGAGGGCACAGAGAGAGCCCTTGAGAAGGAGAAAGAAAGGCAAAATGAGATTGGAAGGAAGAAGAAGGAATAGAGGATACAATGAAGAAAAAGAAGTGGAGGGACAGGTAAGATAAAAGGGGTAGGTAGGCGGAAAAGAGGTTTATAACTCGACAGCCCCTCTGAAGCCTGGGCCAACGGAAAACACAAGTGTCTTTGACCACTGTCTAAAGTAGTTTACAGGTAAGTCACAATCTCAGTAAAAATCCTACAAAGTACTGTTGTGGTCAGAATCGCAGGAACAGTACCAAGTATCCACAATCCAGTTCTATTTGGATTCTCTGCTCCAGATGCCTTGGCTCAGTCATGTGGCCATCCCTAATTACGATTTCTTCACACTACAGTTAACTTGGCACTCTTTGGGGCTGCTGAGTACTAGGAAGGGAAATTAACTATTGGTGAATGCACAAACTTTTAAAGAACTTGCGACTGCTTGTAATCATTGCACTGTTCAGTGTTTATGACTTTCTGCTCACAATTGGAGGGAACATGTCCTGTACTAGAGACCAGAAGGATTCAAATATACTAGCTCTACTTTAAACTCCCTTCTGTGGTTCTTGGACTCACCTTCTGTCACATGAAGATTTAGACTTATCTGAGAATGAACTGAAATCTCAGAACTTTACAGAAAAATACATGTAATTTCTGTAACTCCCTGGTGGACCCTCAAGAAGGAAGGGCTCCCTAATACAGATGATCTCACAGAACCTTTCTTGCTCTTACATTCCTATGACCTTATAAGTCAACAGGTAGATAGCGGTGGAGAGAGGTAAGAAAGTAGATTAGCCAGATATAGATCAAATTTTATTCTGGAGCTGTTACACTATAGACTTTAGGAGGAACAAAAATTACTTTCTGTTCTCTAGAAATCTTTGAGGTTCAGATATCATTCATCTTAATGAAATTGTTTGAAATTCTGAATAGATGCTGATCATAAATAAAATGGCCACTGGCCCTCCATTATAGAATAAACTCCAAATGAGAGCCCGTTTTACAAATTTTGGCTCACAGAAAAACCACTTTTGAATGATTCTTGTCAAAACAACAAAAACTCCTGAATCAGATCTAATGTCTAAACCTAACTATCAAGTTGCTGAACACCGGCAGGACAAAAAATGTTTACAGGGATTCAGATTATGAAATCACTGCAAAAAATTACAAAATGAATGATCCAGTTCTTCACAAACAAATAGGAAGAAAACTTCTCAACTGACTGAGGTGGAATTTGTACACACACAAATAACATACATTTGTGACATTTTTGAAACAGCTGGAAATCTGACCACTAGTCAAATAGTTCATATTTAAAAGTCATTATTAATTCTTTAGCTATAATAATGATAGTAGCTTACAAAATAGGGGGATTTATGACCCTGGGTATGTTTTCTTAAATATGACATAAAAGCACAAGCAACCAAGAGAAAAATAATTAAATTGAACTGCATCAAAATTGAAAACTTTTATGCTTCAAAGATATCATTAAGAATGTGAACCTAAGTAATAGGAAAGAAAATTCTTTGCAAATAACACCTGATAACAGATTTGTATCTGTAATAAATAATAAGGAATTCTTACAACTCACAAAAAGAAATATAACACAAGGGGTGATGAGATGGTTCAGAAAGAAAAGTTCTTGATGTGCAGGAACCATGTAATGGTGGAAGGAGAGAACTAACTCTACAAAGTTATCATCTGACCTCCACATGTATACCATGACATGCTCAACTCCACATATGCATCATGCACACATGTACAATAATAATAATAATAATTTTTAAAAAGAAATATGGGCCAGCAAGATGGCTCAGCAGGTAAAGGCGCTTATCACCAAGCCAAACAAACTGAGTTTGATCCCTGGGACCCATGGTAGAAGGAGAGAACCCACTCCTACAAATTGTTCTCTGATCTCCACATGCCTCCCATAAATAAATAAATGTAATGAAATTGAAAAATCTTCAAAATATTTTAATAACATTCATCCAATGAAATGGTCAATTAAGCACATGAAAAGATATTGAACAGTGGTTAGCCATCAGGGCTATTCAAATAAAACGCAGGAAATCTAAATACAAGATATTGACTATGTCATTATTTGTCATAGAGATGTAGCTAGGTGGTAGAATGCTCATAATACAGCTGGTAGTAAAGTAAAACAGTAGATCTGGCTTTTAGAACAGTCTAGCAGCTTCTCAAAACATTAAACATCGAATTACCATTTTATTAAACAGCTCCACTCTTTGATATGCATCTAAGAGAAAGGAAAATAAGTCCACACAAAAACATGGAGGAATGTTCATAGAGATATTATTCATAATAACCAAAAGATGGAACAATTCAAGCACTCATCCATTGTTGATAAACAATGTTGGTAAACAAAAATATGGTATATGCATTCAATGGAATATTATTCAACCATAAATAGAAATAAAGGCTACAAGATAAATAATAATGAAATAATGCTATAGCATAAAACTTTGAAAAAATTGTTTTAACTGAAATACACAGACATACAAGGTTTTTTGTATCATCCCATGTGTATGTAATGTCGATGCAGTTAAGGTAAATACTACTCCATAAAGGTTCTATTTCAGTTATATATAAATATAAATGTAATTGATAGGTTGCGATGCAAAGCTACGTCTTTTGACAAGTAATCATTAAAACAATTTGAAATCCACTCCTAGAGGTTATGTTGAGATACATACTGGCTGTCATCACATTGTGAGCAACTAGAATGTTTCTCCTGAAAATTTCATTCTTAATGTAGCTCTACTTCTGTGCTAGTCACTTTTTATTTGACACACACAACCTACAGATACTTGGGAAAAGTGAATCTCAACTGAAAAACTGATCACAAAAACCCAGCACCGAACTTTGGAAATGGACAGCAGGCCCCAATCTTAGTGGAAGCACTATTGGCAGCTGATTACTGCTAGGTGAGGAAGAGCTGATCTTCTTGAAGGGGGTGATGCTAGATAGGCTGACTAGACCCCAGTGGATGAACATGCACTAAAGGATGTCAGGGGACACTCACTAACCTGACCTGGTGGGTCTTAACATAAGTGACAGAATGTGTGAAATCCCATGGAGTGGCTATGGGAGGATGCCAGTGGGGAAGGAGATGTAAAGATGATTAAGATGGTGTGTATGAAATACACACAAATTAAATTAAAAAAATTGATCACACTGGCCTGTGGGCATGTCTGGACCATTTTCTTTATTGCTAGTTGATGTAGGAAGGCCGAATCAATTGTGGGCAGCACCATCCTCAGGAAGGTGGGTCTGGGCTGTATAAGAAAAGTAGCTGAAGGTAAGGCAGAGGGTAAATCCACAAGAACAAAACATTTTCTTTGATTCCTGCCTCCAGATTCCTGCCTTGAGTTCCTGCCTGACTTCTCTCAAAGATGGATGGTGACCTGGAAGTGTAAGATGAAATCAACCTTTCTTCATTTAAATTGCTTTGGGTCATGGTGTTTGTCACACCAACAGGAGAAATGGAATAACTTCCTTACTTTCTTTGACCCCCTCAACCTTTATCATTATCATCCTATAGAAACCTGAAAGATCTTATGGCTATAAACAAAGTAATAACTTTTTTTACTAAAGTGTCTATCTCTGTCTTTCTTGAGGTCACTCTCATAGGACTCCACTGATGTTTTCCTCTCTTTCCTGAAATGTTCTTTTGCCTTATGGATGTCATCCACATGACCTGTCTGGTACATACCTTCTTTCAACAAAATTACTGAGTACCAGTGGGGAACAAAACAGATATAGGTACTTGCTTACAGGTAAGTGGAGAACTTCTTCCTCTGCTGATGATACTCAAGTTGATACTCTTGGAGTACAGTGATAACTCTCCATCTGTTTTCCTGATTGTGTCCTTCTGAATAACTCACAAGTATTTCAAAGTTAATAAATCCAAAGGTAATTCATGTTCTCTCTCCCACATCTGATAGTGTTTTCACTTTGAGTTCCTTGCCTTTCGAGAATGGAATTCACACACCGAACTAGCCAGAAACTATCCATAAGTCCTGCCTCTCTTTCACATCTCCAAAAACTAATCAGTCTCCAGAGCCCATTGATTTCCTTCACGCTTAATTTCTTTCTTGTATGTCTCCTTTTCTTCCTACTGCCAGTACCTTTAACCAGTTTCTCTTCATCTATGATTTATTAGCATTCATTACCTGGTTCATTGGCCTACTCTGCCTCCTCAGTTCCACCTCCTTCTCTCTGACCCAAATTCTCTCTCTAAAGCATTTTTAGTCAATCCTATGATGGATGCTGTGGACCATTTGGTAAACATACATTCCACTCTCCAAGCTTTCTTTAATATAGAGCTGAAAAGCTAAAAAAGCAAAACCAACCAAACACCCAAACAAAAAAACTACATAACAAATAACCATTTCCCATACTCCTTTGTAAGCCAGTATTATGGATGGATAATTTCTGTCAATTGCAGGCCTGTACCCAGTGCTTAGAATGAGATGATAAAGCAGAAAGCCATATCTCCACTGCATGTTAGTGGAGACATTAGATTTTCTTCGTGGCTGTGTTTCCATAAATCCTGGCATCTGGTCGCTATTTCTATGTTTTTTGAGAACTAAAGA